TTTTTTCAAGGATACATGACATCCTTACTAAAATGTGACATGAAGCAAGACTATGTCTTCTGACTACAGTGGAATTTAATTGGAAATCAATAACCAAGAGATAACTAGAAAACCCTGAAATGTTTATAAACTAAGCAAGTGTTTTCTAAATAACCCATGAGTCCAAAAAGAAAAACAAGGCAAATCAGAAAATATTCTTAACTGATTTTGAAAACATAGATACTGCTTTGTGGAATGAAGCTGAAGTAGTGCTTACAGAGAAAGCTATGAAGTCAAACATACATTTTAGGAAAAAAAGTGTTTAATTACATAATAATCTATGAGAAAAAGAACAGCAAATCAATTGCAAAAAAGAAGGAAATATTAAAGAGAATAAAACAGTGAAATAGAAAACAAAGAAAAATGTAAAAATTTCACTTTTTTGAAATATGAATAAAATTAATAAACATCTAGCATGACTGATTACAAAGAGAAAATTTCAAGAAATAAAAGGGACATCATCAGAGAACTTACAAATGTTTAAAAGATAATAACTTCTAGTTTTCAGATAGGATTTAGAAAAAAGAATGAAGAATAAAGAATGGTCTTAAAGGACCATTGTTCCCATCTATATAAACTAGAAAGACAACTGAATTCCCACCCACCCCTCATCATACTTAAGGTATGGAAGCGTTGAAGACACAAAGTCTAAAGAGATTAAGTTACAGTGGAATCTAAGGTCATCCTAGGTCAGCAGTTATCAGTGACCAAATTTTCTTCTGCAGAGTTGTCACAGAGACCAGTGGTAAACTGAGCCTGCTGGAAGTACTGGAACTTTGCTGAGACACAGAGAAGCCTGAAGACCTTGTGGGCTGGCATTAATGGACTGAAATCACTAGAAGCTCTGAATGCAGAGAACTTGTTCTTGCCTGACAACTTCCCCCAAGGAACTTTTGCTGAGTGGAAGTGGCACAGAAGCTGAATGAAAATGCAGAGAGAGCATTCTGTAGTCTTACAGTAGGATCCCAAAGTCCTACTAGAGAGAGTAGCTTGTAATTTATACAGGAAAAAACAAGTTAGTTCTAAAGATATTTGATAAGACAGATGAAGTCAAGCTAGCTAAAGCTGTAACACAGCCAAAAATTAGCTCAAGTTCTGATCAGATTATAAAGATTGACCCTTCTCCCTAATTTACCCACAAAGGAAAAGACATAGCGTCCCTCACAGAAGGTAATATCTATTCCAGGGATTATAGTTTTCCATTACACAATTTCTGGTATGCAATAAAAAGTTATGAGACAAGTAAGAAGTAGTATGATATGATTTCTCATTTAGAGAAAAAACTAGCAGTAAAAGCAAATTTATAAATGGTTCAGACATTGGTTTTAGCAAAGATCTTAAAATAACTATCAAAATATATTAAAGAAATTAGAGGAAAAGATAGACAAAATGTATACAAAGAATGAGAATTTTCAGAGAAAAATAATATCTCTAAAAGAGAATCAAGCGTAAATTCTAAAACTGAAAAAATATAATATATGAAATTAAGAATTTCTTTAATGAACCTAAATATAAATTTACACTAATATAATTTAATACAAAATTATATTATTACATAAATGCAATTTAATACAAAATTATTTTGCATATTGATATATAATATATTTTAACTTATATTATCTGTAAAATTAAATAAATTAAGAATTTATTGAATGCAACTAAAATGTCATTATTTAATGACACAGTAGAAAATAAAATAACAGTTATTTCATCTAAGTAGTCACAATCAAGATTGGTTAAAAACCAAAGATAAAAGAAAAATTTTAAATTCAGATGTGAAATAAATTTTTTAAATGAAGACAAAGAAAGTAGGTAGATTATATTCAGAAACTAAGAATAAAAATAATAATTGACTTCTTAGAAAACAGTGGAAGACAAAAGACAATAGAATTGACATCTTTAAAGTGCTAAAAAAGAAATCTAGAATTTGAAAAACAAAGCCTATATAAAGATATTTTTAAACAAATGAAAGCTGAAACAATATGTCACTAGCTTTTCTGGTCAAAAGGGAACAGCCCATGATGGCAGCAAAAATCTGTAGGAAGGAATGAAAAACACCAAAAAACATCCAATATGTGCATAAATGTAAAATATTCTTAAAAGTTAAAAAAATATTATTGACTATTAAAAAGCACATTATTTTTAGCCACATTAAAAATAAAAACAATGTATCAGGGAGTTCATAATATATGTAGAAATAAAATAGATGATATCAATAGTATAAGGGATTGGAGAAAGAATAAATGAAATTATAACCATAAAGTTTTTACAGTGCTTATGAAATGGTAACAACTAATTCAATTATCTTGATAAGTTGAGGTAATAAATTGAGGATGCACAGATTAGTCATTAGAGCAATGATTCTCTACTTGTGGTAATTCTTCCCCTAGAAGGTCATGAGCTATTCTCGGTTGTCTCAACTGGGGTGTGGGGTAGGATTGCTACTGTTAGTGGGAAGAAGCCAGGGATACCACCAAACATCCTACACGGTGTAGAACAGCTCCCACAACAAGGGGTAATCTCACCCCAAATGTCAATAGTGCTGAAGTTGAGAGAGCCAGCGTGTTGCTGGTTACTAAAAATATATACATATATTTTTAAAAAGATTACAGCTTCAGCTGGAATGATTTAAAACACCATGATTAATTCAAAAGAAGGTAAGAGAAGTCAAAATAAAGATGGGACAAATAAAAAATAATAATAAGCCACTAGACATAAAAGCAAATGTATCAGTGATTACACTTGATTTTTGATGGGCAAATACTCTATCTATTGGCATAAAGTGGTTTCTAATAAGACAGACTGTCAAACAATCTGGAAGACAATTTTTCCAGATGGACTGTGAAGAATGAAACAAGCATATTTTGTTTACAAGAGACACACTTTAAATATAAGTGCACAGATAGGTTGAAAACAAAAGAATTGAAGAAGTATTCCATACACTGACCTTTAAAGCTTGTGTAGCCATAGGAATGTCAGACAAAGTAGACTTCAACAGGAGTATTATTAAAACTAAAGGGGCATTTTTCTTAACAAAATGGTTGGAAGACACCATTCCAAACATGTATGTAACTAACAGCATCCATTCAAAGTACATGAAGCAAAAATTAAAGCTAGATGTGATGAAACTAAGAAGAGAAGGAGATAAATCCACAGTAATAGTTGGAGAGAATAACATGTCTCTTAGTAAATTGATGGAACTAGTCGTAATCGATAGAACAAAATTATTCAGTAATATTCAGTATAGACAACGAAGATTTTGAAGACTAGTAATCTATTTGGACTGATTGATATGTATTAAATATGAAAAACAACAACTGCAGAAAAGTCTTTTCAAGTGTACATGGAATATTATCCAAAATAGACCATATGCTGCTTTGTAAAGCAGGTGTCAAAGTTTAAAAGCAACGAAACCAAAAAAGAAAATGTGACCTGGCCATAATAGAATTAAACCAGAAACCAATGATAAAGACAACTAAAAATTTCCAAATACTTTAAAAGTAGATAATGTATTTCTAAATAGTACATGAGTTAAAGAAGAAACAATATTTAAAATTTGAAAATAACTTGAAAGAAAAACAATGAAAATTCAACATGTCAAAATTTGTGGGATGTAACTAAAGCAGAGTTTAGAGAAAATTTTATAGCTTTAAATGCATATATTGGACATTGAAAATCAATTACTTAAGCTTCCTTCTCACAAAGCTAAAAATAAAAAGAGGGTTGGAAATGAATAATCAATTAAATAGAAGAGAGAAATTCCACAAAGCAAAACATTGGCTCTTCAAAAAGATTATTAAAATTAATAACTTCCTTGCAAGACTGATCAAGAAAAAACAAAAACACAAATTACAACTGTGAGGACTGAAAAAGAAATATCACTACAGACATGAAAAGATAACAAGAGAATGTTGTGAATTGTGAACAATTTTATGCCAATAAATTTGCCGTTGGATAAAATAAACAAATTGCTTGAAAATACATCTTACCAAAACTAACACAAGAAAATAAAGAAAAACTAAATATT